TAAAACAAAAATTTATAATAAATAATGAACACTTATTGTACACGTAATTATCTATTACATAAAGATTATGCGTTTCGCGAGTTTCTTCCGTGTCCAGATCTATTCTTGGAATGCCAACGTTTCGTGAACCTTGCAGTTCACTTCATCAGTGCGAGGAGCAGCGAAACGCATAATCTTTAAATAGAAAGTATTCATGAAAGTCTCAAGAATATTATCTATTACATGTATTATCCAAAGAACAGAGGATTAAACAGAAGAAAAATATAAAAATATACAGATATATAGAAGATATATCGTAAAATAATCGATTTACAAGTACAAGTTTTAGTTAAGAATATCTTAAGCATGCAAACATTTTTAATCATTTGGTAACTTCTGAGATAACATATATCGTGCCAATGTAACTGATTTCAGAAGAATTCCAATGGAGATTTTATATTTAAAATTCAACAATTGCATATCAAAGCGCAGCTGATATTTGATTAAAAAAAGAGAGACAGAGAGATATACATAAAATTATTTAATATCTTTGAAACGATTTAATGTAAACTTTAAAGAGTCCAAGATTAGATTTTGATAAGACATATCATTGATATTTTCATAGTTACATCTTATATAATTTATAAAACATATCTGATCTTATAATGAATACACATTGTAATGAAAATAACATAATGGGTGCATCTAATTGTAAATCCAATTCTAAGAACTCCACGTTGCTTCTTCATGCAAAGATTACTAATCTGCGGACTACTATTTCGTAAGCACAGATTGCACAGCTTTTATATGAAACAAATATTGTCAAGATGTGATAATTCTAGAGTGCCATATTGAACTAAGAAATGATAAAGATCTCAGTTTCGAATTTTTTTACATTCTCAGCCTCCACCTCACAAATACATATTAAAGTGTATACTTTAATCCTGGAAAAGGATTTTCGAATCAATAAAAGAGGAAAAAAGTAATTGTTATACAAAAATTATATGGTTTAATTAATAATACAGACAGACGACTTTAGAATCCCCAATGAGCAGTTACTTTCAATGGCAAAAATTCTCATTCCAAAAAAATTATTTTATACATAGCTTACTAAAAATGATAAATCTCTAATGCATCCTAAAAGATTTATCACGCGGTCATCCAAGTGGTTGTAAACGATCTTTGATCATTGCTGAATGTTGAAAGTCACTCTCTACACATTGGCGAATTAATTTTATTAATTACTGTAATCTGTACAAGGCTTAAAAAGTGAGACAAAACATATTATCGATTTATGAATGTTTGTAATAAATTATTTTATTTTAAAAATAATTGTGCGCAATAATTTTCCGCGCTTAATTCCTAAATGCCCGTTTATCATTTTTAATTAGTTTACAATTACAAATGTTATTTAATCATGAAAGAAACATAAATTTCATAAACTAAATCACATTCTATGAACACTACACAGGGTGCGAGTTTATTATTTGATGAATAACAAGAACAAATGATGTATCACGCTAATTCGGAATGCACTCATAATTCATGTAAAGTTATACAAAAAATGTATGTATCCTGTTTATGAGAAGACTTTTAGAATTACAAAAAGCAATATATCAGTACAAATTTACCATTTTAAAAAATGGTTAAAAAGGACGCTAAAGGTACGTTCTTTTCGAAAAAAAATTACCAAATTAAAAAGTAAAATTCAAGTGTTTATACTGTTTTTGTACTAAACGGAAAAATGAAATCCAAGTTTATTATCTTTATTAATTTAAATACAAAAAAATCTAAGATATCTTTTTGTAATCATTTGTATAAAAGATTTGATATCAATGACATAATGATGACGATGTTGATCGACGATGACGACACCGGGCAACGACAACGATGATAATGACGAAGCCGAGCGACGCCGGACTATACACCGTTGTTACTATCAAATCTTTTATACGAATGACAGTACAAATAAATAATATTACTTAATAGTTTATCATATTTAAATTAATAATATCAATTAATAATAATAGTATCACTTGAATTTTACTTCTTAATTTAATTTGATATAACTTTATTCGAGGCGCGAATTATATAATTTTTTTATCTTAATATAAGTCGCATTATAAATATACAATTCCAACACAATATAAAAAAAATAGAGTCATTTTTATTGTTATAATAGTGCTATCATCTATAAATATATATAAGATATGTAAACTTACAAATTGATGTTTCTTCAATCTTAGAAGCATTTTGTCTTGAACCAGAAGATCTTAGAGGTTTTGGAGGCTTTTTTATGCTTTCCATTAATAATTCTCTCAGAGTACTTTCCTTTTGTAATGGTCGTAATCGTCTCTCTGAAGCCTGTATACAATAAAGTATAATTATTTTCTCTATATATGTTGGTCATTGCAAAGAATATATTACTGAGGCCTCGGTGATCTAACTGTGCTCGACCGAAAAGCGAGAGATTCGATCTCTGGCCGATGTAATATTTTTCGCAATAAAATTATTGAAGCTTATCAGCATCATATTATTAATATCTTCTAAAATGCCTATGAGCATTAATATTATTAAAATTGCTTGGCAATTTAATTTGTAAAATTATTCTAGTTGTGTTAACATTACGTTTCAAAACTGAAAATAATAGCGTTTTTCATTGGCAGAACTAGTGCGTACTCAGAGCATTTTAAAGACATTGTATACACAAATCGATGTAAAGATGTATGTTCAAGAAAAATACAGAAATGAGTTAAACCGCGAAATCCTCAATACTTCTATTTGATAAAATATACATTTACTGGGCATTTTATCAATTAAGCTATCTCATTTTATTTTCTCATTCAGATTAGAGTAGTGTATAACGGCTTTAATGTGCACTGAGTGCACATCAGTTCTGCCAATGAAAAACGCTATTAAATTCGACGCGTAGGATTGGACATATATTCTGTATGGATTATTTTGGAGACACGAATACATAAAATTAAAATAATTATATTCTTCAATATGATTTTAATTCAGAATAATTCAGAAGACAACAAGTTACTATGATACCAAAATTATGTCAAAATTATGACTCCAAAATGATCATTAAAAATTATTTTTCAATCATTTCCGATTCATTTTAATGTCATTTTAATATTATCATGACTTGTTCTTGGACAGCAATGCCATCTTATTTAGATAGAATTGATATATAATAGATAATATACTATATTTTATATAATATAATTCTATTATACAGATGGATATTTTTGAAGACTTTTAAAGTACACACGAGACATAAATGATTTAATACACAAAGATGCATGTGAATTTGAACTCGATTTAGATCAGGTTAATCCAAAAGTACCATTTCGTCCAATCAGAAATCAAAGTAGAGCATGTGATGTCATTAATCTTACCTAAATTTGACTTAAACTGCAAACGAAAATACCATTCAGCAGGCATTTGTGTCACCATGTATATATACTTTAAAAATCCTCAAAAGTACCCATCCATACATTCCTAACGCTAGATGAAAATCGTAACGTATTATTTCAAATGGATAATTAAACAGACATAATTAGCACACATTTAATACAAAAATGTAGATCCCTTTTTAAATTTTTCTCGGATTTTATGCACGCAATCATGTATCTTGCCTTTTTTAAAGATGGTCGACTTCGAATAAATTCAAGAATAATGGCATGCGCGTCCTTTCGTGACGACGTAGGTGGAGTTTTCCTGAGGCGATACCGTCTTGCCCTGATATCATCCATCAAACTCTCATAGGGTGTCAGTTTGTAGTCTGGGAGACTTCCTTCTTCACGCGAAGACATACGAGAATCCAAATTAGCTTCTACTTTCTTCAATTTCACTCCTCGCCTCAGCTCGCTAATAACTTGAACCCAAAACCTAGCCTAACAAAACATTTAAAAAAAGCACTCTGATATTATCATTAAAAAATATTTACATTATATACTTATAAAATCTACAGTATGTAGTGCACGCGCACGTGCGTGTGTTTATTATACAGAGTAGTCTGTAACAACAACTGCTCACTGGTGGTACAGCAACTGAGTGAGCATTCTAGATGAAATAAGACGAAAACGAAGAATAAAAACATTCATATAATTTTTTCATATGAATGTTTTTAAGAAAACAGACTTAATATTCACCTAAACACATATGCACTTAACTACGATTAATTATATCTAGATTTAAGGGAATGAAGTGATGGTCGAACTTGATCGATATCAATAATATAGACTTGTTTTAATTTCAGATTAAACATATCGATAATACTGATATCTTTAATTCATTTCTAAAACATTGTCTCACTCAAATGCATGTACCTATTCTTATCTAACATATTGCAGCGATCCGGCATCTATTGCTAGACACAATTACTGTTCTGTTTACCATTTTAAGTTTTTTGCTAAGTATACGTATATTTAATTGATCGAATTTTTTATGTAATTTTTTGAGTGTAGAAAAGATTATGTGTAGTGAATAACCATTATTTAGAAAGATTCTTATAATTTTGTCAAAATTCTTTTGTTGAAAAGTTGTATGTATGTCAAAGAAGAAGGACTTTGTCTATTAGTCCTAATATAATACCAATCCCCTAATTCTAAATAATGGCTACCCACTACACATAATCTTTTCTGCAATCAATAAAAGGTTACATAAAATTCGATCAATTAAATGATAATTCTAACAAAAATAATAATAATAACAATAAAGAAGAAATCAAAAGAGGGAGGTTTTTCATAGTACTATTTTTTCCTAATATTAGAGAAAATTAAATATTTTCTTAATAAAAAATCATACATAAAGCTGTGACGTGATATTTTTCGTCCTATTTCGTATAGTCAAGTGGATCCTACATCCTCCCGGCTCGTGAGGACGAGTGCCAACTTTCATGCGCAGTTTTAATTTTATAATCTTTTGCAAGAATTTTGATTAGTAATAACAGCCGTGAAGATTGATGGCTGTGATGTTCTTTTGACCCAATATAAACAAATTTTTTTACAAAGTCTTGATGCTTTCCTCTCTTTATCATCTTTTGAAGTGTTTGTATATAATTTTGATCATGTCTTTCATATGAGATTAAACGGTCGATTCGTTAAGTTCAACGAACTATTAGTCTAGATGTTTTTACCATATAAGTTATATTTCATTTAATTTTTATTAAAATAATAATAATATTCGAGGCTAATAAGAATCAGCGCAGAAGGGGATGCGCAAATTGTTAAAATATAAAAAAATACTGTTTACTCCATTTGATGTGCAGATGTCTTCTTTATTCTAAATTCTTGAACGTTTCAACTCTCTTTGGAGTTCTCATTAGAAATCTAACATATTCTTAATCTATTTATTAATTGGTTGAGCAATTAGCCAAGATAGAGTTATTCATCAAAGGTTGCCAAAACTGAATTCTAATTAAAAAATCATTAACTTATGAAAATCTTAAATTCACTTGAATGAGCAAAGAGCACCTTGATAGACATACGTTAACCACATACATTTATTATTTCTAATAATTAGAGTTATTCTAATAATTAGATTATTATTTCTAATAAAATTAGATTAGTATCAATAATTCTTCTTTTGCATAATTAATCATGTTTTTAAAAAGTAAATGAAATTTCAGTTTCATTGATATAAAATTTAATTTGTCCTAGTTTTTATATACTCATGCTACATGCATTCATGCTCAATTTATATTCATTAAATTCATTTCATTAATTTTAAACGAGATGTATACTAATGAAAGTTAAACTTAATAATGCAATTATAGTAAAACAAATAATTCTTATTTTATTGATACAAACGTACTTGTATAGCTCTCCAAATTCTAATGTCCGTCTATAAAAATAAATGCTAATTAACAATTTCATTTGTAAAATTATAATTATTAGAAACAATATATCATTTACATATTATTTCTATATCTATTTTTTTTTAAACATGTAATAAGAAAGATATTAAATTATTTAAAATACAAGATTTAATTATGCGTTTTTTTATCTTATCACATGTACTTCAATAATTTGTAAATCAATAGCTTTTTCATAAAAATGTGAACACTATTGTACAGTATAGTTTTTTATTCATTATCAAAACAACTTACCCAATCATTGAAATCCACTGTATTAATGTTCTGCAATGAAGTTGAGTTACGATCTACATTATTTGCATCAAACAAATCTTGTGATTGTTTGTTGACGACTACTCTCTCCAGAAATTGAGAGAGATTAAGGGCCTCTTCCACAAACGCTTGTATTATATTTCGATAATAATTATCAGCATTTTCGTGCAAATTTTGCGCATGCCTTGCACATATCTGAAATATAAGCAGAATCTTTGCAGTATTCTTTAATAAATATGATTTTACACAATCTGTCACAAGTAAGAAATTGAAAAAAAAAATTATATTTATTACGTTTATCAAATTAATTTAACTACTTAAAATTTTGACCAACTTCAAATTTATTTTGCTTTTCTTGATTATTAATTGTTTTACTAAACTGTAAATCGTATCAAGCAACATATTAAACATTAAAATTTAACAAATATAAATTTACTTGGAGAATAGTCTTCAAGGTACATGTAGGACTATCTGTGTATGATTCGGTAGGTTTCGGCATCATATAATCCTCTGCATCAGTATCACCAGAATCTCGCTCAATGCCTTCATCATCAGTTTCTTGTAGACGTTCTTCCACATCACCTTCATAAACTAATGATATAATCAAATAGAGAACATATATCTTAGTTCTGCTTAAAATAAAGACTAGTTTTAATTATTTATTAATTTAAATTTTTATTCAAAAACTTCGTAATTAGGTATTACTAAAGAAAGTAGAGCATATAAAAATTTGTTTACCTCGATTACAGTTTGTCATTGATGTAATAAGAGCTTCTAGGTCTGGTAATAATGCTATTTCCTCTCCTGCATTAGAACCAAAGTCCAAGGCTTTAAAAATTGCCATGCCTAACGAAAATATCACCTGGACAAGAAATTGTAATTTATATTTAAAGAGCAACTGGCTATATATACATATGTATGATTTATTACATAAAATACGATTGAATATTTCATTTAAAAAAAACATAAAAATATATTTAACGGTTTAAGTGATTAAAATCAAATAATAAAACAATAAAAGAGCTAAAAACTAAAGAACAATTTAATATAATCTAAACAAATGTTTTGCATGAGGTCACTATCAATAGGCAAGTTGACAAAATAATTAGTCTGCTCGTCGAAGAAATGAATAATTGGTTGTTATAAATCCAACCAATTATTCATTTCTTCGACGAGCAGACTAGTTATTTTGTCAACTTGCCTATTACACGTTAAACACGCAAACGCTTAGCGAGTAACCTAGCAACTTTGTTCACCTTGAACGCGCCCAAAACGTTTTAACAAAACTGGTAAAAATTCAAATTGAGACATAATTGAGAAGTCACGTAATATTACAAATTATAAAAAATAGATAAATCAAGACTGTTCTTCGTACTATATAAAAATTTTTTCGTAAAAAGCTCTTATAGAACTGATTTTTATAGTAATATTTTTATAATTAAGTCGAAAGTTCTCAATATCAACGTGCAATGCATAATAGATGATCCTGCTATTAAAACGTGATTATTAATAAAACTAAATTATTGTGGTTGGTGTAATAACATGACTACTAATAATACAATAAATATTTACCACTTCTCAAAAAATTAATGAAATGAAAAATATAATTGAGAAATCAATATCACAAAAATAAAATCACGAAGAAAAATTTTTATGAAAAATAGTCTTGTGATTTGTCTAACTGTCGACAATTTGTCATATTACACAATTTTATTTATACGTTGACTTGAATTATTACCGATTTTGTTAACATTGATAATAACTTCATGTTAATAATAAATGTCAAAACATTTGTTTAAATTTATTAAATTTGTTGGCGCAACGTAACTTCTTATTGATTTATTATTTGAATTTCATAAGTTACATTTACCTTCTCTTCCGAAACAAGAGGTAGTTTAGAGCCTGTAATATAAGTTATTTTGTTAATTGTCTTTAATATTATAATATTATAATAATAGTTTATAATTTCTAAACTAAAACAAGTTTACATGATTACTTCTGAATTCCAGAATAAAACGGTCACCTGCTAAGTTTTCAAGCCAAATATCTCCATCTTTGTGAAGTATAATTTGCGAGAGTTCTGATATCTCATAGAACTTATTTTCCGTTAAGCGTAATAAACCATTAGCTATCTGATAGCACAATGCCCATGCTCGTTCTTGACTTAAAGGACTATCAAATATTAATAGAACATCCTGGAGATTTAAACAACCACACGAATCTAATTTACACTTAGGTCGCGCCGATGCATCTTCTTTTCTGTTTACTGCTGTTTGTGGCTCTTCAAGAACTGTAGCTTTTTCCTTATTACATTCTGTGCTATTTTTAGAATTCGACATTGTGCAATTCTTTGTTCTTTATTTACAGATACTATATCAATTTGTATGAATCTGTTTACTATTCTTAAAAATTATTTTATACATAATCTTTGGTATTGTATAGAATGTCTTGTGTGATACATCATAAATGTCTATGAAATTGTTTATGTTAATTAACATATATTACATCAGTATATTCATAACATTGTATCAAATGTTCATAGTTTCATATTAGAAGAATTATACTTTTCCATCCATAAAGAACGATATTTTTACTTTTCTTGCAGAATATATTAAAATTGTTATTCTAAATTAACAGAAGATACAGTAAAAATTGTATATTATAAATTGTAATCCCCAATTACCTGAAATATAATAATAGTACATAGACACTTTATGTACACATCTTTATACAAGATGTTAAAAAAAAAAACCATTCATTTTACATGATATGTATCTTTATGATATGTATCTTTTTTACATGATATGTACCATACTGGGTGAAAAAGTCTTAATAAATATAAGTCAAAAACTGTTTCTGAGATATGAATAATTTTGTTATTAGTATAATTCGTAACTAATTGTCTTCGTGTCACACATGATGTAAAAAGAGAAAAATTGAGATAAGTATGCAGCATAAGCTTCCACCTTCGATTTTCTTGTAATTTGGTAAATTTGTGTTTCCACGCGTAGAATATATTCTGAGAAGGAAAATCGTCGCTCAAATCAAAATTTTTTGTTGATAAGTTGAAAAATGATAGTTTAATGATATATAAGTCTTTTATAAGTCTATATGCTCTAAAGAATATAATCTTTCTCGGAATATATTCTATGCATGAAAATACACAAATTTACAAAATTTAAGAAAATCGGAAGTAAGAGACGAGTTATATTGCATATTTACCGAGATAAGTAGCACTAATCTATTTGATTGAATAATCTATTTGATTTGAGAGAATTACAACTCCAATAAGGTGATACCAACTCCAATAAGGTATCTCCCATAATACCTATCCAATTATAATTGTTGGTCAATTTACTAATACGATCTCAACATAATGCTACAAATGCTTTGAAGCATTCTTTGATTGATAAAATTCTTTGTTCTGAACCGCATCCACGATGAAATTTTTCATAATAGATTTGTACATATGGAATTGAACGAAAACCTTCAGAATGCAATTTATAAATACGGAGGTAAATCTTCACATCTCGCACGTAGAAGCTAATAAGTTAGTTATGATACTTACAAAACTGTTTGCATCTCAGAAACGATTCAGCTTTCAACCTATGTTTATTAAGGCTGTTTAAGTTATAATCAGTACACAATGTATACCATCTATCATATAAATGCTTGAATGATTTTTTTATATAACATCCTGTATAATGTGTTAATATGGAAGACTATCTCTAATCAAATTATAATATAATTTAGAATCACGGAATGGAAATAACGCGTTACGCCGTTATAAGTTATTTTTTTTTATAACAAACTAATAACGATGTTACATTTTTTAGTAATTATAACATAGTTACATTTTTTGTGATATCGGTTTTGTAATACTTAACGAATTTTACAATTACTTTTACCGTTTTTATTACATTTTGAACACATTTATGATATAATTTTTTATATATTCAATCTTCAATCTTTGGTTAGTATTCATAATTCATTCTTACTTCAAAACCATTTTAAATAAGTCTTAAAATTCTAATATGACTCTGTGATTGGTTCATGACTTTTAAGATTGCTACAAATGTTTTAAAATTGAAATTAAGATAAATATCCCAATGATTGATGTTTAAACATAGTTTGTCACAAATAATACAATTTATAATACTAGAAAAGTTTCTAATATAAATATATCTCTGGTCAGGCGTAATCCCGTAGGGTGTGCAATAAATTGTTTTTATAATTTTTAACAAAAATAAGACATTATTAAATAAAAGTTAATTTAAATTAGTTATCTTTTGTCATTAAATATGAATTTAAAAATAAATTTACTAACGAATTTGCCACCATTTTGTCAAATCATAAATTCAAAGCTTTTCTTCAAAAAAGTTTTATAATACAAAAATATTTTATTTGGTCTACTTTTTATCAATTAATAATCAAATATAAAAGTTTTCTAGTATCATTATTGTTTATCATTTTTATTAATGTCTGAATAAAAAATATTGCAAAATTTTTAGACTGTTCTTTTTTCAGTATTAAAAAGATAATAGAAAAATAACAAATCGTTACTTTATAAGAGATGATAACGATAACGAGTTATTTTTGAGAATCAATAACTATTAAGAATCAGTAACTAGTTTTTAAAAAGTAACTTTCCATTCCCTGTTTAAAACAGGATAATAATATGTCTGATATTCTAATTATTTCTAATTATTTCTAAAAATTAACGAATAAAACTATATACTTTGTATATATGTATATGTATATTACACAACTGAATGTGATGAATATTTCATAGAATATTGCTAGAAAAACTTCAATAAAAAAACATAAATAGGAATTAAATAAGGGATCAAAAATATTTCATAAAAATGCAATTTCTTATACTTTTTACGCCCATTTGTTCACTTTATTTAAATAAAATATCAACATTTGAAACTGATGTAGTCTTTACAGAATTTTATAAATAACAATAAATTAAATAGCAAAATGTCAAACTTTTGAAACATTGGATAATCAAAACAAAAGCATATAAATTTCTTTTGTAACATATTTTTCTTTTAAAGTTGATTTTAAATATTTTTAAAAATTATTTTAAAAAAAATCTAAATACTAATGTTACAATTCTTTTTGTTTCATTTATACACATATTAAATTTTCCATAAACATGTTATTCTTTGTTCTAAGATATTTTCTAATTATGTATCGTTTTATAACTTTGTAGAAATATATATTAAAAATAGTATCTTATATATATATTTAATTAAAAAAATGAAAAGAATGTGCAACATATACAATTAATAAAATATATATCTTCTGCTACTAATTACTAATAAAATATTAATTTCGAAAACAGACAATAGAAAGTACTCCGTGATTTTGTGTGCTATAATATCATAATACGTCAAACGTAATTATCCAATTGTTTAATACGATTCAGAAATATCAGAATATATTAAAATAATTCGTGAACATGACAGTGAATCAGTAGTGATCACAGTATATAAAGTGATTTAGTATACGAATATAATCGGATCAAGTGCTCGGTGTAAATTAGATAAGTTTTACTTACGTAGAAAATGCTCGAAGATTCCTGTCTTCCAAAATCTTCCTCACCGAATTTTAATAAAATTAGGCTCATTCGAAGGGTTTTTATACAAAATGAACGAACTTGACAAAAAAAATATCACTCCGTGAATCGAGATATTAAGCGTTAAAATTGATCACTATTGAGGTTAGGAAATCTGTCAGCTGCGAAATACTCCAACACGAGCATGTACTGTGGACACTGCGATCACGTTCATTGGTCGCGTTTAGGAGACTCAACTGTTGCGGAGCGGATCCGTGAGCGCTCGCTGCTATTGGATGATCTAGAAGAATACACCAATAGCAGCGAGCGCTCACGAATCTGCTCTGCAACAGTTGAATCTGCTAAAGGCCGGGTTCATACCTTGACGGAAAAGCGGAGAGCGGAAAAACGGAAACCAATTAGAACCCATACTAGTAGTAGGCGGTATATTTCAATTGTCTGCTTCTGTCTTTCCGTGAGTTCTGATTGGCTTCCGCTTTTCCGCTTTCCATCTAAGAGCTCATTAAACGCTCGATAAGTAAGCGATTGTAGTACGAGGGCAAGTCAATAAGTTTTTAGAAAAACATAATAAAACACATTTTTTTTTATCGATTCATTTTTATTTCTCAACATAGTCTCCTTTCAACTCGATACACCTGATCCAACGATTCTCCAACTTTTTCAAGCCGTCTAAATAATATGATTTGTCCAACCCTTCAAAATAAGCCTCTGTTTCGGCAATGAGCTGCTCTCTGGTGGTGAATCTCTTTCCTTCGTACCATTTCATCAGGTTTGGAAACAGGAAATAGTCGCAGGGGGCTAAATCTGGTGAATATGCTGGATGAGGAAGCAATTCGTAGCGGAATTTGTTGAATTTGGCCATCGGTGCCGGACACGTGTGAATGGCCCGTGCATTGTCTTGATGGAAGAGCACTTTCTTCTTCGCCAAATGGGGACGTTTTTTCTTTAAAATGTTGTTGAAACGGTCCAATAAGGCTGCGTAGTAATTGCCATTGATCGTTTGCTTCAACGGAAGGTAATCGATATGAATTATACCGCGTGCATCCCAAAAAACTATGGCCATCACCTTTCCGGCCGACTTTACGGTCTTCGCTTTTTTCGGAGTTGGTTCATCCAGTGAAGTCGATTGTTTTGACTGTTCCTTCGTCTCGGGTGTGAAATAATGGATCCATGTTTCGTCCACAGTAATGAATCGACACAGAAATTCATCTGGATTACGTTGAAACATCTCCAAACATTGTTTTGAAATCGTCACACGGTCGCGCTTATGGTCCACAGTGAGCAAACGCGGCACCCATCTTGTTGATAATTTTTTCATACCTAATTGTTCGTGCAAAATTGAAATCACTGTGCCATGTGATATACCTGTGACCTCAACAAGCTCGCGTACTTTCACTCGTCGATCAATCAAAACAATATCGTGGATTTTATCGATGATTTCTGGCGTAGTAGCCTCAATTGGACGTCCCGAACGAGGTGCATCACATGTGGATGTACAACCACGTTTAAATTTATTCACCCAATTGTATACAGTTGCAAACGCTGGTGCAGATGTGCTATAAATATTATCCAACTCGCTTTTGATTTCTTTCGGTGTTAAACCTTTTATATGTAGATGTTTAATCACTGCACGAAATTCGTTTTTTTCCATTTTGCAAAAAATACAAAGGTTGTTCACTTTAATCGTTTACAGAAACTACGCGATAAATTCCGCTCAAAAATTTGAGACATTGCAAGTGCCCTCTGACAGATTTTCTAAGAATTTATTGACTTGCACTCGTACTGAATGCACACATTGCTGCGTCCAGCAGACTCAACAGTTATGTGAGTTTGCTGTTATTGATGTATTCTTTTAGATCATCCAATCAGCATTTTAGATCTGGAAGAATATATCAATAATAGCGAGCATTCTTTCAACTGTTTTGTTCGCTGAATGCGCTCATTGGCTGCATTCGGTTGCAAAAAAAGAACTAATTTGTGAGCACTCAGTGATTTTTTAATATGATTGGTTCCTACACTTAGATCCGGTAAAATACTAAAAACAAAAATCAATCAAGAACCAATCGCTCGGTGAGCAAGTTGCATTCCAAAACTCGAAAAAAATTTTACAATTGTTTTGTTCATGATTATAAATAGATGGGACGTTTTGATTGGTTAATTCGTGATGATGCGATGCATTCCGCGCTATTATGAGTGATAGTATCGACACACACCACGTTCATTTTCAATGCTCCAATTTTATCGACAATTTCGCAAAATAGATACTTAGTTCTCACATCACAAAAATGGACATCGATGTATACATACATATAGTGTTGAGATGAAAAAAAACCGAGATGATTGCTTTACAAATTTCTCTCTGGATAAAGTCTATGCTCTCACTTGATTCAATTTAGTTCGCCATGTCTGCGTTCAGATATAATGGCGCTGAAAATCGTCTTCTTTTTAGAAGGTGGACCTTCTTGCTTTTCTTAAGGCTATTAAATTTTCTGATGCAATCTTTTTGGAACAGCGTGTGGCAGTAAGTTGAAATTAATTTGTTCAGTTTTCTGAAATGCTTTATATCGCTTAAGTTTTTGTTAAACAAAAAGTTTTCTTCATTTAAGAGGACACTCTACAATCAGAAAAATGACGGAAGAAGATTCGGTATGTAAAATGTAGTTTACGAATTAAATTGAACATAAATATGTGACAGGATGTATTGGACTGTTTTAATTCAATATTTTCTGTTGGAGTAATACATACAAGTTTTACTTTTTTTATTATTTATGAGGGATTGTGGATATATAATGATATTTAGAAAGCAAAAGAAATTCCAACCTCAAAATTTTTACTGGAGATGTTAATTATTTAAATTGGAAAATTTTTTTATAATGAAGGATCTACATTATAAGCTATTTATATTATATGCTATATGTATCCTTGTTTTATTAAAACATTTATTTTTAATATAAATTTCATATAATATATGATTTATATTGTAACTCATTTTATATTCATAAAAAATTTCTAGGTATTTGATCCAACCTTGAAAAAGAAGAAAAAAAAGAAGAAGACTACTTTTGATATAGATGCGGCTTTCAATGAAGGAGGCAATGGTGGTGATGCATCTGAAAATATTGTTGATAAGGAGAATCAGGAACCTGAGCCAACAGTGGTGGAAGATGATGAGGCATTGGATTTGGAAAATTTTGGTAAAAAGAAGAAGAAAAAGAAAAAGGCATTTAACTTAGATGAATTAGAAGCAGCTTTACCTGATACAAAGAAAGAGGTAAATAATTTTTTTTTTATTTGTATTGGATATATTTAATAATTTAAGCTTATTTATCATTAATTATTCAATTTTTATCTTTATACTTTTTAATTACAAATGTTTTGATGCATTAAAAAAATGATAAATTATATTCATATGAACATCTATAAACAAACTAGAAATTAATTAATAGTATTTTATCATTAATTTTTAAAGTTATTTCTATAAATATCCTAAACATTTGTAAGATTAGATTTAATTTATAAAAGTAAGATTTCATAGGAGGAGCAAGGATTTTTTTAAGTATAAATGATTTATTAGTCAATTGTGAAACATTTTAGATAAATTACATTTTTTTTTTTTTTTTGTATGTTATAATAAATTTAAATAAACGGAAATAAAGATCTATAAGAGTCAATGAGGATGTCAATAAATAAAAATTACAAAATTTTAATTATACATTATTAGATTTACATTAAGAATGTTGAGATGACAAGAGATTAGCAATGTCTATAAGATTCCGTTATTACATATTTCTGTTATTTTGGCTTTTTAAGCCCTCTTTAGATATCCAAAATAGACAAATTAAATAGGAAAATGCAGCAATATCTTCTGAATTAATCAAGAAATGATCGCAGAAATACAGAATTAATCGCAAAATAGTTAGAGGACCACATGGAGAGAAAAGTTCTGAAAATTATGAACATTATAACTGCAAGTAATAGACAGAAAATTTAAATAGAAAACAGTCAAATTTTAGAGTCGTGAAAAAGTCACAAAATAAAAATTTCTTATCTTTCTCTTCTTATCTTTCTTATTTTTCTCTATTTAAGAAATTATTTTGTGATTTTTTTCATTAACTCTAAAATTTGACTATTTTCTATTTAAATCTTCTGTGTGCTACTTGCAGTTCTGCAATGTTCTCCACACGATCTTTGTTTTGAGTAATTCTGGATAAGGATTCTTGAGGATTTCTGGATAACTCAACATGAGAATTGTGAAGATATTGCTATATTTTCTTTTTTAATTTTTTTATTTTGGATATCTGAAGAAGATTAAAAAAAATAACCAAAATATGTAATAACGAAATCTTTTTTAATTATTATTTAATTATTTCGCCGTATTAAATTCTCTTGAATACAAAATACATATGGCGCGAATCAACAAAAATTAATTAATGAAAATTAATTGATCTCGAGAAACTAGGATTTTTATTTGAAATATCCTAGAATTATTTATTGAATTAATTAATCAAATATCGCTGGATGCCCTGTATAAATAAAATAAATAAATATGACTTCCACTCCTTGCTTTTTTGCGAAAGGAAAGAAGATTGCAAATATTTGCCATTTTAAAAAGTATATTGCAATCTATAAAATACTAGTTTAGCAAGACCTGGATTGTTTATCTTAAATTAGGAATCTTATTTATTTTACAGGAACTTGTAGAGCAGCAGGTCGAAGAAATTGTAGTAGATGATGATTTTGATTTAGATATGGATTTCTCAAAAACAAAGAAAAAGAAGAAAAAGAAGAAAGATCTCGATGAATTAGTGGCTGAAGAAGAGCGCAAGGAGATTGAAGACAAGGAGAATGGTATGTACCAATAAGAAATGATTTTTACCAGTATGTTTTTTGCATCTAGTTGTTTATGTTATCCATTATTTGTTAACATGCTGCACTGAATCTGAGCGAAGTGCAGAGTATGGTAAGACATTATGCTTGATGTACTTTAATTACGTCAACTATGCACTTAATTATTTCTGCACTTACGCATTTTATGAATAGAATATATAGAATAGAATAGAATTTATTACACTTCAGCATACACAAGAAGAGGACTTAATTTACACATACAGCCTTAACTCATTCATTTATCCATTTATCTCGCCTGCGCGTTATTATTCATTACTATATTATTATTTTTACTATTTCTTGCTATATCCAGTTTTACCCTGTATATTCTCTTTGTATTCTTTTATTTATATCTTATCTGCTTTTATTCTATCTAATTTTAATACTGTAGACTAAATTAAAATATCTAGACCACAACTCTAATCGTCACCTGCTTGTTATCACACGCTTTTCTTTTGAAATTTACTCCATCCTTATTGTCTCTTTCTGCTAATTGCACTCCTACAAATTAATTTCCCATTGCCATTATTTTTCCTCTCGAGATCATGTACTCCATCTCTCCTCTTTTTTTCTTAAAACTTTATCACTATCTTTCCATAATTTTCTCAATATTTCCTTTTTCACTTTCCTAAATCTTCATTATCTCCTTAATATCCCTCCTTCCTCTCCTAATTTAATAAATCTTTCTTTTTATTGTGCATTCCTCTACATATTACAAGTTATCATTTCTTCCAAATTCCCCCATCTTAATTGAAATAGAGACCTACTCTGACCTTACCCCTTTTTTTCTATTCTGCTAAGTTTTCTTTTCTCAGATATAACATATATTTCCTGTTACTCACCCCTAACTCCTTGTATCTTTACCTAACTCGTTGTACCTTGCCTTAGAAATTTTGCTATCTTCTTACTGTTTCTGTATCTCTCTTTCTCTTTATTAACTTATCCTCAAAACATAATATCAGAATAACAAAACTTTCTCTTTTCTTCTTTTTAACTTTTTGCTCTTCCTCTTTCCTCTTTTTTATCCACTCACTAATTCGCTATTCTCTAATTATGGCACATTCTAAAAATAGCAGCTATCGCAATTGGCATCCGCTCACATGCACGCCATCTAAGTTCCATTCTTATGCATTTTATGATAAAAATAATTTTAAAACATCTGAAACTGATTTTATAGCTTTCTGAAAAATAAATTTTATTTTAAATTATAATTTTACATATATCTGATGTAATTAAAACTAATTATAATTTATTTGGAAGCTTTAATATATACAGAATATTTGAAAAATAATGATAAACTTTTCGCATAAAATGGATGAGTAAAATGGACTAGACTGAGAAGAAAAGTCTACGATTTGCAATTTTCGCAATAGTTAACAAGATATTAATTGCTAAACATTGCCGGAAATTGGTCTTCAATAATTTTTTTACTTAAATACTATCAACTTTACAAAAAAATTGCAAGAGACAAAAATTGTTTATTTTCTTTTCATAGAGCTCTACGAATTTTTTTAGATTTTATCAATTTTTTAGTACAGCATTTTTTCATTTTTAACAACTTGAGAAAATACGATATTAAAAAATTCTGAAAAAATTCTTTAAAAAATTCTTAGAGGAGAAAATAAATAATTTTTGTCTCTTGTAGTTTTTCTGTAAAATTGATAGTATTTGAGTAAAAAATTATTGAAAATCAATTTTCAGCAATTTTTAGCAGGATAATAACTAGTTGAAATATTAAAAGTTAAAAAAAAAGTTAATAACTTT